TTTTTTTTTCTATATTATATATTGGTGTATTGTATTGTAGATTGGTGTATTTTGTATTATATATCATATATTTAATCTTTTTTTTTTATATAGTTTTCTGACTTACTTTTATTATTGTACTTTATTTGTAAATTTTTAATGTCTTTGGCAATATTGTTAATCTACAGTCATGCCAATAAAGCTTATTGAAATTGAAATTGAAATTGAGAGAGAGAGAGAGAGAGAGTGTGTGTGTGTGTGTGTGTGAGACGTGTGTGTGTGAGTGTGTGTGTGTGTGTGTGTCACCTGTGGGGACGAAGATGTTGGCGAAGATGACGAGGGCGGACATAAAGAGACAGGTGGCCTGAGTGACCCTCCTCCCCAGGTAAGTGAGCATGCCCACAGCCAGAATTTTGGCGGGAATATCAACAGCTCCAAAGATGATCTGGATAAGGTAGATACTCACCTGGATACACCGACAGCCAATCAGAGGACAGGAGGGGTTTAAACAGAACACAAGAACATCTCATCTTGAGACAGGAAGAGAGGTAAACGGGTAAAAAGGAAGACAGGTGAACAGGTAAAAAAGTAGACAGGTGAAAAGGTAAAAAGGTAGACAGGTGAACAGGTAAAAAAGTAGACAGGTAAGCAGGTAAAAAGGAAGACAGGTGAACAGGTAAAAAGGTAGACAGGTGAACAGGTAAAAAAGCCGACAGGTGAACAGGTAAAAAGTAGACAGGTGAACAGGTAAAAAAGTAGACAGGTGAACAGGTAAAAAGTAGACAGGTGAACAGGTAAAAAAGTAGACAGGTGAACATGTAGACAGGTGACTAGTCTTCCAGGCTATTAATTTCAGTTGCTGCCATTTGAAGACACAACCATGGTAATCTTTTCCTTCTCTACCTTTGAGCCCGCACGACCTGAAGCTCAGGTATCAGGTGAGTAAGGTCTACAGGAAGTTACCTGCAGCTGTTAGCTCTCATGTAGCATTGATGCTAATCAGGTGACTTACCCCAAACTTCTGAAGATCCATCGCAATCCCATAGTACGCAAAGCTGGTGGAGAACCTGCGGACGAGGACAAGGGAGACATGAACACGGTGCTCCAGGTACACCTGCTGAGTGACAGGTGAATGGGTGGACAGATAAACAGGTGGACAGATGGACAGGTACAGAAAAGGTGAAGCAGGTGTGTCCTCTGACCAGACAGCGAGCAGACAGATGGAGATCCGTCTTATCCCTCGTGTCCTCAGCAGGTCATACGCTGTCAACG